GAAATTGTTACTAGACAAGTATTTCACTATGGATATCATCCCTCTATTTGCATAGGCAATACGAGTTTTTGTATATTAGAGTAATGTTTGGAGGTTGAAGCTCTGTTTCCACGGTGANAAATATATAATACTTCAGAGACAATTTATGTTATCACTAATTAAACTAAATAATTAATGACAAAGTATTTTTGTCGGCATTAATGATCTTTTTAGTGACGAAAATATAGTATCAACTACGATTTTTTAATACTTTTTCTGACAAATAACTTTGTCATAAATACTATCACTTTGGGGACGAAAAAATATGTCGTAGTTAATATAATTCTATTTAGTGACGAAACACAAAAGTTGTCTGCATATATTATTAGTGACGGTGTTTTACGGACAAAAGATTGACAAAAAATTTTTTGTCACAAAAAGTCATTTGTGACGAAATATGAATTTTAGGTGACAAAACAATTTATCACAGATAGTCGAATTTGTTGTAGTGCAAAGAATGCAAAATAAACAAGGTTGGAAAGAAGATGACTTTTAGGACTAAGCACAGTGAATCAATTATCAATTAACGAAGCTTGAAAGAATAACCTTTGAATATCTAAGAATATTGTGGTTGTATTACAATGTAAGCAAAAAACTTGCCCTCTACAGAAATGTAGCCATCCTTTTTATAGTGGTGGATCCTACTTTAGATACAATTAAAAATACTTAGTGGAGAACCCATGATAAACCAACTTTTTCCTAATTTCCGCCGAAATTCTCTCCCTTAGAGTGTTTGCAACGGCGTTTGTCTGTAAGCTCGAGCTCGATCGGCCTCGGTGCTGGTCGGTATTGCTTCTAGAACTCGATATGGACTCAGGATCAAGTGATAATTCAGACTCGATCCTGGTCGGCCTCTGCCCTTTAAGCTCGAAATCATCTCACCATAGTTCGATTCGGACCCGAGCTCGATAATGATTTCGAACTCGATGTTTGACTTATACCCGAAATTTGAAGCTTGTTTGTACCATCTTCGGAACCCGTCTCGATATTACGAAGTCTTTTCTTCGATCCATTGCGTTTAGACCTCGATCGATCCTACGAAGGCCAAAATCCATTTCGAACGTATACAGATAGTCCCCTCGTTTCTCGGGAAGGATGTGGTGAGAAATGATATGATTTCTCAATGGATCGATTGGATTATAAGCTGACGTTGACATTGGGTTCGATCATTACGCACGTGATAGTTGTCCCGTCGATTTAGTTTTTTAAGGCATTTAATGCATGTCAGACGGTGGTCGGCCACCGCTGATATTGAACCGTCGTTGTTTCAAACTATAAATAGCCTTTCCGTTCACCATCTATCAGTTTTACTTATTCAATCTTCAGAAAATTTATCAAGTGTGTGTATACTTACTCTTTCACGTTAGGTCCCCTCGACCATGTTATCATAGATTTTTGTCGTAAATACCTAATAACCCTAGGCCAGATCCATCCTTCCTTTTAGCGGATCGTTATTTTGATACGATATTTTGTGAATAAAATCGAGGGGATGCCTTTCACCCTCGATCATCTTATCCGATTATACCGTCCTTGCCTTTTTTGAGGAGAGTTAATAAAACTCCAATGTTGAGCTACCAAGGCTTTGTTCTCGAGTATAGACGAGGATAAAGATCGAGGCTGGATGGGCAAGTTCGTTCGAGTAAGGACTTCGGGCCTGATTCCGGCCGAAAAGATGCCTTTTCCCGAGGATGGAACATGAAGCGTAAGTGTAATTCTGCTGTTATCTCCTACTATTTTGTCCTTTTATTTCCTTTCTCACCGATATTCCCCTTTTGTGATGCAGCGGTTCCCTAGATTTCCGGCGCAGTGCCCGATCTTAAGAACTGGGTACGTGATCTGGTTTCGACCTCCTCATACGACGAGTGCTCATGGCGTGACTTGTCAAAGGGCCGATGGGAGGCCAAAAACATGGTAAACACCTTTCTCGTATCTTTTTGTAGTTCAAACTAGGTGCTTTTCACACACCTAAATAAAATTTCTCGTATGTAGGTGTGGGAAAAGATACGGTTTTGAGGCCCTCATCCATCGAGGAAGAGGCTTCAGCCCCTATCCCAAAGCCGGTGAAAGATAATAAGAGGAAAAGAGCCCGCGTCCTTGAAGACCAAAAACCAAAGAAGAGGACGACTCGTAAGCCGAATAAGAATGCCATTCCTTTGATCGCAGAATCAGTTCTGCGTCTGAGGGATGAAGAAGAAGAAGAAGAAGAGAACGACGGGTCCATGCTGGCGGCCCGAACGAAGAAGACCACCGATGTTCCACAGGCAGCTGGATCGATGGTGGTTCATAAGGCTCTGCCTCGAACTGAGGATATATCGGAGAAAGATTCGGGTAGAGTCCTCGAGCTATTGGAGATCGAAGATGCTCCCCAACGAATGGGGGATATGCCTGAAGGGGCTTTCCCCGAATCTCTTCAAACTGAAGAGAATGCTCCAAGTGATTCACTTGGGGTAGTAACAATCGAAGACTCGCTCACCTTTCCTGCTTTTTTCGCAGGGGCGATTCGGGAACCCCAGGCTTTGGGGGCCCTCGAATTAGACAGGACTCATGATGGAGAGGATCCTTTTCTTGACTTGTTTATCGGTGTCGAGGACGCTCCCGGTACAAGTGATGCATCAGATCTTTTTCACGGAGTGCAGCAGGCTTTGAATCGGGTAAGCCTTAAATTTTATGGCATTACCTTTATGCTTGTTTTTTTTTCTAACTTGGTTTTTTCTTTCTTGGCAGGCCGCGGCAAATCATCGAGAATCATATTCTCGGTCCCGAACCGAGGTGCATCGATACGAGGCCTACCTTCAACGGGTTACGGAGGAGAGGAACTCTCTTAAGCTCCTCTTAGGGCAAAGGGGAGAGCAAATAAAAAATCTCCGAGCTGAGTTGACTAAGGCTTACCAAGATCAGACCGATCTGTCCGAGCAGGTAATAATAGTTTTAAAAGCCTATGGGCTCGATACAAGAACAATGGCTAATTTTTCGGTCTCACAACTGCAACAGAAAATTGAGATGATCAGGAAACTCCGCGAGGAGGTCAATGAGTTAAAAGCAGAGTCTTTGAAGTATTTAGAAGGTATGGATCGCTTGGCTGCAGAGAGAGAAGCAGCTCGAGCCCAATTATCATCGGCCAAAAACCAATTTCATAGTATGAAGAAGAAAAGCTCGGTTCAAGCGAGAAGAATAGAGGAGCTCGAGGCTCAGTTGGCCTCTAAACTTGTCAAGGCCGAATCTAACGCCGAAAAGGCAAAGGCTGACGGATGCACCTGTGGCCGTCTATCGGGCCGACGCTGAAGCTGGCAATAGAGGTAGCCGAGACCGCCGATACTCGAGCACATTGGGTCGCTGAACTTGCTAGGTGCCGATCTCGGAGGGAGAACCTCGAGGAGATCCATGCTCGAGGTTTCAATTTCGCTGAAGAGATAAAAAGAGCTAAAGAGCTCGAAGTCGATACTGAAGCCTTGGTTTCTGATGATGACGATGACGATGATGATGACGATGATGGGAGTAAGAGCGGATACGAGAATGGGGGGGAACCTGATAGAAAAGAGACCGCTCCCTGGGATAACGAAGATGTTTATCCCTTAGCTTCTATGCTGTAATCAATCATGTAAACAATCTTGTATATATAAAAATATCTTTTTTCTTTTGCCGACTTGCTTCTATTTTGTTTTCTGCTTTATGAAGATTTCATTCATGCCTTATGAATGTTTTCATAAGGACTTAAGCAATTTGATCGAATTTGGAATTCGTATCCTTTATAACTGAGTGAGCATTTATTCAAGCTTGAAATAAGGTATCCCATAGGCTTAGTAGTCGAGTTGAGTGATTTTTTGAACATGAAGTATGATGTAGCCTTTAGGCTTATTAGTCGAGTGAGTGATTGAACTCGAAGTAATGCAACCCGTAGGCGTAATGGTCGAGTGAGTGCTTACTCGAACTCGGAATAAGAGTAGCATGTAGGCTTATTAGTCGAGTGAATATTTCAAACTCGAAGTAATGTAGCCCGTAGGCGTAATGGTCGAGTGAGTGCTTGCTCAAACTCGGAATAAGAGTAGCCCGTAGGCTTATTATTCGAGTAAATGTTTCGAACTCAAAGTAATGTAGCTCGTAGGTGTAATGGTCGAGAGAATATTTCGAACTCGGAATAATAGTAGCCCGTAGGCTTATTAGTCGAGTGAATGTTTCCAACTCGAAGTAATGTATCCTGTAGGCTTAATGGTCGAGTGAGTGCTTGCTTGAACTCGGAATAAGAGTATCCCATAGGCTTATTAGTCGAGTGAATGTTTCGAACTCGAAGTAATGTATCCCGTAGGCGTAATGGTCGAGTGAATATTTTGAACTCGGAATAAGAGTAGCCCGTAGGCTTATTAATCGAGTGAATGTTTCCAACTCGAAGTAATGTAGCCCGTAGGCTTAATGGTCGAGTGAGTGCTTGCTCGAACTCGAAATAAGAGTAGCCCATAGGCTTATTAGTCGAGTGAATGTTTCGAACTCGAAGTAATGTAGCCNACTCGGAATAAGAGTAGCCCGTAGGCTTATTAGTCGAGTGAATGTTTCAAACTCGAAGTAATGCAACCCGTAGGCGTAATGGTCGAGTGAGTGCTTGCTTGAACTCGGAATAAGAGTAGCATGTAGGCTTATTAGTCGAGTGAATATTTCGAACTCGAAGTAATGTAGCCCGTAGGCGTAATGGTCGAGTGAGTGCTTGCTCGAACTCGGAATAAGAGTAGCCCGTAGGCTTATTAGTCGAGTGAATGTTTTGAACTCGAAGTAATGCAGCCCGTAGGCTTAATGGTCGAGTGAGTACTTGCTCGGACTCGGAATAAGAGTAGCTCGTAGGCTTATTAGTCGAGTGAATGTTTCAAACTCGAAGTAATGCAACCCGTAGGCGTAATGGTCGAGTGAGTGCTTGCTTGAACTCGGAATAAGAGTAGCATGTAGGCTTATTAGTCGAGTGAATATTTCGAACTCGAAGTAA